GTCCATGTGATGTGAGTAGGGATATGCCGGTATCAAATTCTCATGTTAAGATTAATTGCTAATGCTTTTATCACGGTATACGGTATTATCACAATATTGAAATTTAGTTTAAAAAAAGTGCTGTCATAATACAGTATAACAGGTTTAATAACTTTTTTCTTATAACAAAAATAACTGAACATTTAAATGCAATAAAGCAATACAGAAAAATTTATAAAGTTAAAAGTTTTACACAGATTAAAGTGCAAAACAACTATAAAGACCAATAGGTATCACTTTACAATAAGACCTCATTAGTTAACCTTAGTTAATGCATTAACATTCACAATGAGCAATAGCTACATTTGCTACAGAAGTTATTAATCTTTGTTTAAAAAATACAAGTCTTAGTTCATGTTAGCTCATTAAATAACACAGTTGCAAGTTTCAATTTTAACAACGTGTTATTAAATATTGTAATTACCTAAGATTAATGAATGTTCAGAAGAATTTTTCATTGGCAGTTTGTTAACTAATGAATTAAATAATGTTAACTAATGAAGCCCTAATGTAAAGTCTGACCGAACAATAAAGAATCAAAACACTTTCAAACAATATCGAAGGCATGTTGTAGTCCAGATTAAAATGTAAAATAGATTGAAAATAAATAGCAAATTAAGTCTAAATATTTAAGTATTTGGCTCTGTGATGAACATCATAGCAAATACACAAATCTGAATGACTGTTTAAATCATTTAAACACCTTTCAGAAACAGAAAGTAGTGCAGCTGCTTTGTTTACAGGGTTTCTGGGGTAACGGTTGCATTTAAATGAATTATTATTATTATTATTATTATTATTATTATTATTATTATTATTATTATTATTATTATTATTATTATTATTATTATTATTATTATTATTATTATTATTATTATTATTATTATTATTATTATTATTATTATTATTATTATTATTATTATTATTATTATTATTATTATTATTATTATTATTATTATTATTATTATTATTATTATTATTATTTCTGCAGTTTAGCACCATCTGCTGTCAGAGAGTGAAAGTGGGCTTTCATCCAGAGCATCTCTCACATGTTCCGCCATGTGCTTCTCGTCCGCGCTTGTTTACATCAGAGTACAGCGGTGTTGTGCATTTTGACCAGTTGATGGGAAAAATATTCTTAAAACGCATTCAAAATTCTAAATAATTTGTAATATATAATTATTCACGGTATTTAGAAGTGCCCACGATAACAATATCGTGCATATTCATCACCGTGATATATCGCATTACCGAATACCGGCACAAGTCTAGATGTGAGAGTGTGACAGCTTCTGAGCTCTGAATCAGTATATCGTGTACACGAATCCTGGCACTGATAAGGATCCTGGCTCATTACACATTGGGTCAGTGATGATCACTCAATTTCTGGTGATATAACTACGTACAACGTCAACATACATCATTGTAGAACGTCACCGCTTGTATTAATCAACAACAGGCAAGACCCATATCTTTTTGATATAATTTTTTATGCTCTTTAAACACATTGTTCTGTTACATATCCTTGCAACATTTCAGCCGAATATTAATTATAAATCTTAACTTGATGTGTTCACTTGATGTGTCTAGCGATGTGTTTGTGCTGAAATATACAAAAAAAGCTTTGTCTTTTCAAATCTCCATGCTATTATATTTATTAGTGCTGTCAAATGATTAATCGCAATTAATCACATCCAAAATAAAAGTTTTTGTTTACGCAATATATGGGTGTGTACTGTGTATATATTTTATGTATATATATATATATATATATATATATTCAAATATAATTTATATTATATATAAATATTAATATTTTATATATAAACTAAACATATTTTTCTTACACAAAACAAGAAAGCCAAAAAGTGTTGTGCCCCACTCTCAATTTTAATTCCATTGTTTCCAAATGTTGGACTTGTTTTGGTTTTGTAAAGAAAATACCTGCTTTAATTTTCTTCTCTACTTCATTTGTTGACTCCATCATTCGTTACATTTTTGAGTGCCCACTTTTGCTGCAATGAAAAAACCCACCGGATCCCGCGAGATTTGCATTTTGCATTGACTCCCACGAGATCTGCAAAATCTCAATACCTTCACAATCTGTTCACTTTAGAGGGATATGGGTTCATTTAGAGTGCACACAAATTCTTAAAAAACAAATTAAACTGCTGAAACAGTTTATCTCTAAAACAAAATAAACAAAACTTCTTGATGTGGCACTGATGTAGGACATGGCATTGATGTGTGTACAGCGTAGAACGTGTGACCACACATTTAAAAGACTTCTTTGATGCAAACAAAAAACAGAAATGACAGAAATGATATCTGCTATGGTTCCTGACATAGTAGAGGAGTAGAATGTTTGCATTCAAGCCCCTCTTGCTACCTCTCTTAAGTGGAAGTTTATTAAAGATGCACTTGTTTAAGAACTGTTCCCCTCTCCCTGTTACTAGGGGCTTTAAGTGGGTGGTCCCTCTCTTTTGGTTCCTTGGATTGAGCTCTCGTATGGTCTTCTAGTTCGGGCTGCCTCCCCTGTATCATAGGGTAGTAAGCGGTCCACACAAAGCAGCCTCTTCAGAGATGGTAAATGTCTGAGGATAGTTTCACTTTGACGAGCTGCTCTTTGGTTTGGGCTATTTACTTTATAATTAGATGTTTTTAAGTAGACGGTCCACCATAGGTCCAATTTCTTTTAAAAAAAGAAAGTAAAAGAGGTACCGGCTAGAGGTCTACACGGAGGACCCGAGACCCGAGGACCCGGGACCCAACCCGGGATCTATACGGGTTCGGGGCTATATTTTAAATGGTCAGCCGGGTCCGGGTCGGGTCCCAATCTATTACTTCGGGTCCCGGGTCTGTTTAACATTGTGTGTAATACCCGAGTCGATCGGACTCGGAGAACACCCGGCCGTTATCAGAGTCAGTCAGCGCTATGAGCGTGTTGTTTTGTAACTTTCAACTTGTAAAATTAGGATGAGAAAAGTGTGAGTCGGTAATTTGAAATAAGGTGAAAAAAAACAAAAAAAACACGAGCGACATCATCAGAAGCAGGGTGGGCGGAGTTAATGCACACGCACGGTGATAATGGATACCTTCTCATGAGTGATGTGAATTATTATTGATTATTTTTAAAATAATATTATGAATGAACCGTCTTGTTGTTATATCAAAAATGTTTTACTCAGACTCGGCTCAGAGAGCACAGAGATGATAGCAAATAAGTAAAGCTAACGTCAGCAGCCATGGCACTAGACGAGCAATCGTTATTATAATCCAAATGGGCAAACAGTCTAATTTATTATGCAAGTTGACTCGAGATACAAAAAAATGCAAAACTGCAATGTCGCATTTGTCATCCGTCACCGTGACAGTAAGTGGACTTTTGAAACTGGAATAATGAGTGGATTACGCATTTCAATTGGCAAGAGAGAAATAACACAGATGGAACTTTCTTGGCAAGGAGGATTGTGTGCATCACAGTCAGGTACAAGGGAGAAGGCTTCTTACATTAGGTAAGACAAAAAGTTTAATTTTCGCAACTTGTTTATCAACTTGTTAATAGCAATTTGCTGTGGAATATGTGCCGATCGAGTCGAGACGGGTCTGTGTCTTACCAGCCGGGTTCGGGTCCATCTTTCAAATAATTGACGGTTCGCGTCAGTTCCGGGTAGTACATTTTTGACATTTCTCTGTTCTGCACGGGCCCGGGTCCAACTTTCAAAATAATAGACGTATCTGGGTCGGTTCAGTGCAGCACATTTACGGGTTCGGGTACGAATTTTTGGACCCGTGTAGACCTCTAGTACCGGCTGAGGCTCGTTTCCTCTGATAAGATCTCCCCCATGAGTTGTAAGCTCTTTCCCTACCTAATATTTCTGGTAGGAGGGTTGGGCTGCCTCCCCGCTTTCTAGGGCTTTAAGTAGGCCGTCCCCCTGAGGTTCCTTTTTGATATGTTAGGCTACCTCTCCTGATTTCAGGGTATTTTCAAGTAGGCGGTCCCCCGCAATCCCACATGCTTTGGTCTGTCTACCCTGCATTAGGGTTTCAAGTAGATGGCTCATTGCCTTTAGGAACATAGCTGTTTGAGGACAGTTGTGTTCCCAACTTGGCTGAATGGGATGTCCCACCTTAAATATTAGTGTTGGTTGGGTTCCCCATCTCCCCCAAGTTATTTTAGCTGTCTGGGTGTCATTGGTGTGCCCCCCCCCCCCCTTTTTAATCAGTGTATGTTTGCCACTACTTTTGGTCTCTCTCACCAGGTGGACAGGCAATGCACCGAGGCATGGCATAGTGGGTATTTCATTCCCTATAGTGTCCAGTAGAGGACACAGTGCGAGTTCCCTTGAAGGGGAACCCTCTTATACTTCGGGTGTGCCGCTAATGACGTCAGGGGCTGCACGGTCCAGTGGATTGGAGTGTTTTTGCATGTGCTTCAGACACCGGTCATGCTGATGGCATTCCCCATAGTGTCCACTAGAGGACGCAGTGTCTCGGTCCATCTCCCAGAACCATGGTTACATGCAAAACCCGAGACATTTTCTGAGAACCTCCTTGTCATTTGGCACACAATTTGCCTGCATATGATGAGTTTCTGTATGTATATTTGTGCAGAAGAATTGTCATGACTGAAGTGTTTTTTTAAAATATGATAATATTCAAAGTAATAGTGCTTTGATATCTAAGTGTAAACTGTGAAGAATTAACAAAACAACAGAATAGTCATGACATTCAGCCTCTTGTGTAAGAAACAAGACATCCAAATAACTTGAGTGGTATTGTCATAATTTAGCTGGTAGATATTGGCTACAAATTTGTGACAACACTAGTGGGTATATTTTTTAATCAACAGTACTTGTGAGTGCATTTGGTTTTCATGATATGATAAATAAATACTGAGATCAAATTGTAAGACAATTATTTTTTTCATATGTTAGAAAAGGTTCATCTGAACGTCTAACCTTTAGAGTGCTGTTGAGGGTTCTGATGAGATGTATCTTCTCATTGAGTGTCTGGTTTTTGGAACGCTTTATAAATGAGGCTCGTAATTCCCATTTTGATGATGGCTTCCGCTCACCCATTGGAGACAAACTCGCTCTTTTCAAATGTAAGTACAATCTTTCCATCTCATCATCAGTTCCTTCCTGTCCATCTAGAACTATTAAAAAATTATACATTTTATAGCAAGACTGATGTTTAACCTAAGCAATCAAACCTGAACCTGGCTGAACAATGTAATTCCCTATGCATAAATCGGATGTTAAAATGGCCCCCCAACTTGCTTACTTTCTTGTCTGGTGTCAGTTGAGATCAGCTGTGTTTCTGGTTCCTCTGGCTCTGTGGATATTGCCATAGGTGATGTGCTAGATGAGCATCCAAGGGGGTCTTGAGATTGAGCTGTGGCTTCATGATGTTGTGAGGTTTCCTTTATTGAGGTGCTCATTGTATGGACCACAGCAGAGCAGACCACAGTTTCACCAGCAGTAGGGGTTGCCTGGGAGACAAGGTCTAGCCAAGACCGTCTATGCTTGGCCAGAGATGAGACAGAGCTGTGGGAGGTCATTGTACTGACGGGGGAGGAGAGGGTTCCAGTGGCTTCACTAGGAACAGGGGAGGAATATGGAGGAGGAAGGCTTCCCTAAATGGAGAAGATACCACTGAGTGAGGGAGGGATAATGGCATACTCTGTTATAATATGTCTGGTGGCAAATGTATAAAAAATTTCCAACATAGTTCCCTAATCAAAAACACCTGAACAAGCTAACCAAGGTATTTAAGATAACTAGAAATTTACAGGCAGGTGAGTTTGATCAAGGTTGGAGCTAGACTCTCTAGGAAAGCGGATCTTGAGGGCCAGAGTTGAGAACCCCTGTTCTAGGCTTTGTTTTATAAAGCCCCCTTTTAATTCTCAAAATAGGTATGAATTACACCATTAACCTCATTGACAGCTACGATGCTTTATGAAATGACAGACCACTAGTACAAAAAAACAGATTACTGTTTACTAAACATGCTCTCAAAATGATGTTGTGCATCCTGAAAATTTAAAGGAGTCAGTTTAGTGATAGAACACAGTTGTCACGCTCTTTTACAACCAAGCTGTGTGTAAACAGTCCTATTTACCACTTTAAACACAACTGACAATCATATTCTGCTGCTGTGTGAATGCAACCAATGTAAAAACAGTCCGAAACTTGAGGTTTCCAAATAATATATGGACAGGCCTTTGGCATGAGGACAAGGCCACATACACTATGCATCTGTGAACTTGCCTGATGCACAGTGGCCGATAGACCACTGGCATTTGCTACAGCTTGGGTGTGGTGCTCAGAATATGGCGGTGGAGGCGTGTCAGTGGACTCCTCGTGATCACTGGCCTCACTGTAGCATTCTGTGCATTAGAAAAACAAAAATGCAATAAATAAATGTAAATAGATGAATATTGTAACGAATACTTGTAACACTAGTACACTAACTCACACAACTTACCAGCTGTATGAGCCTCTGTGGGTTCATACTGAATAGATGCCAGACCAAGTTTATTCAGCCATCTGAAATCACAAAACATTAGAACACATTACCAACAATTAAACATAATGACTGTCAAAATTAATGCTTTTATACACTTGGTTACTGTCGAGCACCATTCTTTATTGATTAAATGTATTTATTAAATTTTAAGTTTCCATCTGCTATATTCAATCACATGCATTCTCTAAAGAAACCACAAAGATATGTCAGTCAACTCAATGTCAGTAAATCCAGATGTGCAAAATGTCAGAAACAATCATACATGCTGCTCTTTGCAGTTTTGAGTCTTGAACTGTCAGAAACCAATTTGATTTCTCATGACACATATTTCATTGATATTTATCATAGCTTTTGTAGTAATGACATAGTAACCGCTTACATCACCTTTCATTATAATCAAAAATCTAAGTATTAAATATCAACTATGTTTGCCATTTGTACAAACAAGAACTCCCTGGGAGTTGTGTTGTCCATAGCTACCAGCTCCTGGTAGAGTCTCCCTCTGCAATTGACAATTGACTGCAAAATTGGTCCCAGGTAAAAGGCCAGACAAAGGAAGAGAGAGGGATACGGGGGCCCTATGTGAATGGGGCCCAGTTGGGCTCGAAAGAATAATGTGGGACCTTGTCGGGCCATCTTCCAGGGGAATCCCACACACACAGGATAATGCGATACCTTTTGATACTGTGTTTGGACTCTGTCCTTCTCTGGAGTCATCCAGGTTGAGAAACAAATCCCGACTTGGTGCAACATTTTTGGAGTTTAGCCTAGTTTAGCCCGAGAGGGTCGGCTCAGTGTGACTTTGTGTCACAGAGAGAAGACTCTGACTCTCAATGTGTTCTGTGCTTATGCACATTTCAGAGTATCTGACCTTCTTAGAGACCCTGGATGGCTCTCTGGAAAGTGTTGTCAACTGATCACCACCTGGTGGTGAGTTGGATAAGATGACTGACTGACCTGGGAAACACCTTTTGCGAGTGAACAGGGAACATTTGGCAGAGGACCCTGACCGGTAAATATTTAACTCCCACCTCTGGAGGAGCTATTCCTTCATCCTGAGGGAGGCTGGAGACATATAATTAGAGTGGGACCTGTCCAAAATATAAAAAAATGGAACTGAAGGGTGTGTTCTAATTATCAAGGGATCACACTTCTCAGCCTACCCTACCTGCAAAAGCCTATGCCAGAGTTCTGAAAAAAGGAGAATCCATCCAGTTGGAAAAATGTCAATCAATGGACAATCAAGACTTACTGAAATGGTTTGAAAACTAGTGTGAAGCAGTGGGGACGAGGCTCAGGACCTCCAAATCTGAGGACCGAACCACCAAGGGGAAACAGGGGCTGAGCCCAAATGAAAAACTCTCAATTTACCAGGTAATTTATGTTCCGACCCTCACTTAACGTCATGAACTTTGGGTAATGACCTATAGAACAAGACGTGTGTATAAGCAACTGAAATAAATTTTCTCAGCAGGGCATCTGGGCGAACCTTGAGAGAGAGTGAAAACCTCTGTCATCGGAAGAGACTTGGAGTAGAGCCACTTGCACCACATATTTGTGAGACATCCACACAAATAGGCAAATCCAATAATTACACATATTATTTCTTAAAAGCAACTGAATGCGTTAACAATCTATATCAACAGTTTATACAAACCACTACTGTGACTACTGTAAATACAACTATGGATATTGTTAAACAGATTGTTTTTTTTTTTGCTTTGTCAGAATGAGATGTCAATTGGCTTACAAGTTCATGTCCTCATTGCTGTCTGCTGCAAAGTGAAACATCATGACTTTGTGGTGGCAAGCTTTGATCGCACTGTGAGAAACAAAAAGAGTGTGAAGGATTGTTCAGTTGAAAAATATTTGTAATTATCATGATGATGAGTATATTCCGCTTCAAGGCCCTTGCATTTGGAAAACAAACAACTTTGTACTTTGTAAAGAATTAACAGGTATGAAAATGACACTTACTATTTTTTCTTACATTCCATCGCCCGGTCAATTACAAAATCAGTCAAATTTATAAAGCCTTCTGCTTTTTCAGCCTGGAAAAACACAAAAACACTAAAGTTGTACATACTGTATATATGTATATGATGCTGTGCTAACCTTTATAAATGATATTCAATAATAGGGAAAACAGCGTGAAAAGAGGAAGACACATATAATGAAACTGAATTCAGAATTCAGATGACTCACCACTTGATTTGTGTACCAGTACAGAGAGGTTTTCTTTAGCACGAACCAATACTTTTTCCACTTAATACCCAGAAATCCCTTCCCCTCTTTCTTCCTATAAAGCCAGCCCTGATGGTCCACTGGGTCCAAATCTTTCACTGAAACTCTCCTTCTGCTCATTCTTGGACTTCCTATAAGAACAAATGTACAAATACAACAATAAAACAGAAATGATGACACATATGACCATACCTTGTGTGGTTTATGTTATGTGATACAAACCTCTAAAATTCTTCTTCTTTGACTTCTGTCTGAGGGACACCTGAAGACAAATAGATGAAATATGCTGGTATTATCATGACCACACCATGTCTCATTATTATGATTTCACACTTTCACAATGCAGACAAAAATAACTTAATGTACAATAGGTTCACAAGAATTACCGGATTGTACTCATCAGAAGCCATACAAGGAGCCAGGGAAATGGGAAAGGAGGCCTGGTAAGAGACCAAAGCAGACACAGTCAAATTATTATTAGGGTCTGTTTCAGTCAGGTCCCTTCATAGCACTTTATTTTACAGTCCTGTTCTACATTGTGCATATTATGTACTAATTACCTAGGGTGACCATATCTTATATCTTATATTTTAGTTTTCCAAAAAGAGGACCGTTGGGGGGGTGGGAGGGGGGTTCGCCTAAAAGTATACGTAGCAAGGTTTTTTGATGTTTGTTTGCTTGTTTTGTTTTTATAATAAATAAAAAGAAAACAAGTACACAGTATAGAAAAAGAATAGGGAATGCTAGTGTTAGAGGGTCATTTTTAAATAAAAATAAAATAAGTCAATAGAACAGAAAAATAATAGAGAATGTTAGTGTTAAAGGCTCTTTTTTTCTTTTTAAATAAAACCAGTAGAATAGAAATAGAATAGAGTGCAAATGCTAGTGTCACATTTTTAAAATAAAAAAAAAACAAGCAGATAAAATCAAGCAGATAAAATTAAAATTAGCATTATAACAGAGAGTGTTAGAGCTAGAGTTAGAGGGACAAATGAAGATGAAAGAGATGTGTTTTCAGCTGTTTCTTTAAAAGTATACGTAGCAAGGTTTTTTGTGTGTTTGTTTGCTTGTTTTGTTTTTATAATAAATAAAAAGAAAACAAGTACACAGTATAGAAAAAGAATAGGGAATGCTAGTGTTAGAGGGTCATTTTTAAATAAAAATAAAATAAGTCAATAGAACAGAAAAAGAATAGAGAATGTTAGTGTTAAAGGCTCTTTTTTTCTTTTTAAATAAAACCAGTAGAATAGAAATAGAATAGAGTGCAAATGCTAGTGTCACATTTTTAAAATAAAAAAAAACTAAAATTAGCATTATAACAGAGAGTGTTAGAGCTAGAGTTAGAGGGACAAATGAAGATGAAAGAGATGTGTTTTCAGCTGTTTCTTGAAAACGATTAAGGACTCAGCTGCTTGGATTGAGCTGGGCAGGTCATTCCACCAGGAGGGAACAGTTGATGTAAAAGTCCATGAAAGTTTTATCATAGGTAGAATGCAAAATGTCATTTATGCAATATTTCAAACCTTTAACCCACTTGGGAAAATCAACCCATGGCAACAGTTTAAAAGTAGCCCAATTCTGTGGGGGGAAAAATTTGGACTTGGCAACCCTGCATCCAAGAAGAGTTGCCGGAGTCAGATTTGATTGATCTCAGGTTGAGAATAAGGAGAGATGACTGACAAGACCATGCTGGAGTATTTGCTGCTCAACAGATCCTGAGCTCATTGACAAATATCTGATCTTGTAAGATGTGCTCCCTTCACACAGAGTGCGTGTGATCGTGAAACCGAAAGTGAAGTGAACAGCATGAACGCTCATTCAAAAAAGATTTACAGTAAATACACCGCATCCGTGAGAGCGGCTCCCTGAAACGCCAAAATTATATACAATATTAGAATGTTTAAAGAAGTGGACACGAAAATCGCGGGAGCGAAACACATGTTGCGGGAGCAGGCGGCAATGGTAAGAGATTCAGCAGGAGCGAGATTAAGAAAACAGACAAATCATTTTGGGCGATTAAGTAATCCCGGCAGGACATTTTTTTAGGTCCAAAAAGAGGACATGTCAGGGGAAAAGAGGACTTGTGGTCACCCTGTATTATCAGTTATTGTAATTACAGTTATTGTAATTAACCCTGAACCTAATCCCTAATCCTGACCTTAAGGTCACTATTGGTGCTTTTCCACTGCATGGTACAGCATGGTACGGTACGGCACGGCTCACTTTTGGGGGGTTTTCCACTGTGTACAGTACCTGGTACCTGGTACTTTTTTCAGTACCACCTCGGCTGAGGTTCCAAGCGAGCCGTACTGTTACCAAAATGTGACGGGTAAACCCTGCTGAACACTAATTTGCCGGAGAGAATCGCCACTACCTGCACCATTGAACACGAGACACAACACCCGCTATATTAAATCAGCACAGCCAGCGAGGATCAAACTTTTTTTGAATGAATGCAACAGTTTTCGCACCTTTTTTTAAACAACAAAATAATGGTTGATTTGTGGTCTATTGAGGACGTACAGATGTTCCTCTCGTTGATAGCCGAGGAGCGGATCCAGCAAGAGCTTGATGGGATGACACAAAATGAAAATGTTTTTCAGGAGGTCACGGCAGTAGAGGCGGCGCAACTATAACGACATAATATAATCTATAATCTAAAATCTATAATCCCGCCCACTCTAAAGCGGTACTAAACTGCAGTTGAAACTCAAACTGAGTCGAGCCGAGCCGTACCATGCAGTGGAAAAGCACCATATGAAATCAAAATGGACATGGCAAGGACCTCTCATCTCCAGCAACTTGTCATTGACATGAGATCACAGTAATAACAAACAACACTGGTCAAATTATCCAGCACACTCTAATATGCAAAACACCCTGCTAGAAGACCATTGTTACCATTGGCTCACTGACTCCCTGGATGTGTAACCTCCATAGAAGTTTCACCTGGTTTCACTCAGGTGGTTAACTGACTGCTTTTCATAGCTCCATTTCCTGTTTCTCTAATCTCAAATATCATTTGCCCTTCCTGTATGTGTGATGGTATGTTCGTTTAGACTGCAGTTAGGAACCTAGGTGTGCTATATGATAGCAATCTTTCCTTAGAAAGCCACGTTTCTAGCATTTGTAAATCTGCATTTTTCCATCTCAAAAATATATCTAAATTACGACCTATGCTCTCAATGTCAAATGCAGAAATGTTAATCCATGCGTTTATGACCTCAAGGTTAGATTATTGTAATGCTTTATTGGGTGGTTGTTCTGCACGCTTAATAAACAAACTCCAGCTGGTCCAAAATGCAGCAGCTATAGTTCTTACTAGAACCAGGAAGTATGACCATATTAGCCCGGTTCTGTCAACACTGCACTGGCTACCTATTAAACATTGTATAGATTTTAAAATCTTGCTTATTACTTATAAAGCCCTGAATGGTTTAGCACCTCAGTATTTGAACAAGTTCTTGTTACATTATAATCCTCCACGTCCGCTGCGTTCTCAAAACTCTAGCAATTTGATAATACCTAGAATGTCAAAATCTAGAAGAATGGCATCTATGCTAATATTAGTCTGTTTCCCTTTTATTCCGAGGTCACCGTAGCCACCAGATCCAGTCTGTATCCAGATCAGATTGTCACTGCAGTCACCCGGATCCAGTACGTATTCAGACCAGATGGTGGATCAGCACCTAGAGAGGACCTCTACAGCCCTGAAAGTCAGCAGAGACCAGGACAACTAGATAAGCCCCAGATACAGATCCCCAGTAAAGACCTTGTCTCAGACGGCCATCGGGACAAGACCACAGGAACCAGTTGAGTCCTCTGCACAATGAGAATTGAACTGCTGGTTTCGTCTGGCCACCCGACTGAGCCTGGTTTCTCCCAAGGTTTTTTCTCCATTCTGTCACCAATGGAGTTTTGGTTCCTTGCCGCTGTCGCCTCTGGCTTGCTTAGTTGGGGACACTTCATTTCCAGCGATATCGTTGACTTGATTGCAAATGATTGCAAAGATGCTATTTTAACTGAACTGAGCTGAATGATGACATCACTGAATTCAATGATGAACTGCCTTTAACTGAAAAATTAGTGTTTACTATTGTCACTTTGCATTATTGACACACTATTTTCCTAATTAATGTTGTACAGTTGCTTTGACACAATCTGTATTGTTAAAAGCGCTATATAAATAAAGGTGACTTGACTTGACTTATAGTGTTTAGTTAATAAAACATTTGTGCACAAATTACACAAGTTTCTGATTCTGTCACTGTTTGTGGATAATGTCCCTTTAACGATCTGATCTTGTACACATTCTAACACACACTAGTACTGTACGAAAGTTATTTTCTGTGGCCACAAAAATGTAATTTATGAGTTGATATGAAATTACACTGAATGTTTGCTGGGCGAACAGATTAGTTGATGGTAATATTAATTCTGCTACAGTTACTACTGGCAGCTGATTTAAATAATTGTAATTAATTATAATTATTTATATACATTTCCCTTTTGAGCTAATTTGCTACACTGTTCAAAAAAATAATAAAAATAAGGGAACACTTAAATCACACATTGAATCTCGATGGATGAAATATTCAAGTTTAAAATCTTTAGTTATATGCATTGTGAAATTTGTTGAAAATATAATAATGTGACAATGGTCAATGGAAACCAAAATCATCAACCCACATGCTCCTGATAGTGTCCTGTGGGATCTCCTGCTGGACCTGGATCAGGGCATTAGTGAGCACCTGGACAATCTGTGGTGCTACTTTTCGTCTTTGGATGCCCCAATAAATAATATCCCAGACGTTCTCAATTGGATTCAGATCTGGGGAACGTGAGGGCCAGTCAATGTCATCAATGCCTTCATCATATAGAAACTGTCTGAACACACTGGCCATATGAGGCCGGGCATTGTCATGCACCAGGAGAAACCCAGGCCTCACTGCACCAGGGTGAGGTCTGACAATGGCTCTGAGGATTTCATCCCGGTACAGTAGTAAGGGTACAGCTGGCTAGCACATGGAGGTCTGAGCAACCCTCCAACGTCATGAGACGTTGATATTTGGTTAAATTTTGGTTGTGAGATTGGGTGACCAAAATTCAATGTAAATTCAACATCTAATGTCAATGTTAAATTGATGTCCAATACCGACGTCAGCTGACGTTGATATTTTGTTGTTTTTAGGTTGTGTAACCAAAATCCAATGTTAAGTCAACGTCAAACTGACATCAAACGTCCGGTGCCTGCTTTCTCTTTTTTTCCTTCTGTTTTCCTTCTACCACGACCAGGTATTGAGTGAGCAGTGCCGGACAGACCAGAGAATCGTGTTTGTCACAGTCTGAGAGTCTTTGGGTGCTTTTTTTGGAAATTCAGCTTTTTTGGAAAGCAAGCTTCATGTGTCTTCATCAAGGCTTCCCTCTAGCAATTCTGCTACAAAGCCCAGATCTTTGGTCTGTTGCAGTGATAATTGTCTGCAATCTACACACAATTTCTCCCATTTCCACACATCGGCTTTTGGTTATTTCTCTTACCAAGGCCCTTCTCACCCTTTTGCTCAGTTTGGCCGGATGAGTAGCTCTAGGGTCCTGGTCGTTCCAAACATTTTCCATTTTAGAAATATGGAGGACACTGTGCTTTTGGGAGTCTTTAATGTAGTAGATCTTTTGTAGCCTTCCTCAGATCAATACAGTTCTGTCTCTGAGCTTTGCAGTCAGTTCCTCGTGATTTGGTTTTTGATCCGATATGTACTTCTAGCTGTTAGACCATAGACAGTTGTGTCTTTACAAATAATGGCAAATTAATTACATTTGCCATATGGACTCCAGTAGAAACATATCAAATATGATCCAGAGAAATAGGATGCACCTGAGATAAATTCCTTATAAGGGTTAGAATTAGGAATTGAAGAACTGCACTATAGTGTAGGCCACCAAAAAGCTGAACATAATCATAAAAAAACAACAACACTGGCATGGTATGGATAACTCTTCAGAATGTCACAACCAAACACTATATATATCCCTGCTTTATCAGTCAGAAAAAAAAAATGTATTCACGACAGAGGAACCCAGAAAAAGAGTAAAAGAGTTCAATGTCATAACCAGTGCATTGAAACTGACGGTGGAAAAAGACACAAGCTAATCTATAGTGTAGGCCACCAAAAAGCTGAACATAATCATAAAAAAACAACAACACTGGCATGGTATGGATAACTCTTCAGAATGTCACAACCAAACACTATATATATCCCTGCTTTATCAGTCAGAAAAAAAAAAATGTATTCACGACAGAGGAACCCAGAAAAAGAGTAAAAGAGTTCAATGTCATAACCAGTGCATTGAAACTGACGGTGGAAAAAGACACAAGCTAAACGAAACCCATTGCTCAATTTCCTCAAACTGCTCATGTTCCTCTTTGAATGGCAAAAATTCTCAAAAGAGCATTTTCTACAATGCAATGTAGACTTTTTTATGTCTGATATTTTTCATAAAAAAAGGTTTGTTGCCATATAACATGTGTGGAATACCGTACCTTTTCGAATGATACACCATTAACCATTATAAACAAGAATACAGGCTACCATCTATACTGCACTTATAAGTGACACGAAAATATGACTTCAGTGTCAAAATCTCCTGTCAATTTATGAAAAAAAAAATTGAATTAAATTTCTTTAAATGTTTAGATGATTACTCATAAGAAATATTTTGAATATCTCCAGCCTGCAGTTGATAACACTGCTGCATTACAGTACCTGTATATGAAAATATAGGGATACATTATCTGTTTTACCTGTTCACCAGACTTGACCAGGTGGAGCGTCTGACGTCTGACCATCTGTTTTTATACTCCGAAATGGCATGTAACTGTCCTCCTACCACAGTTAAAATTAAGTGGTCAACCCCACAGCCAGATCATTTTAGAGAGAGAGAGAGAAATTACTTCTGCTTACGCAAGAAACATTTCAAAACATCCTCAACTTCTTATTCTACACAAACCGTATGAAAGCTGATTATGTATTATACACATTTAGCTGTTAATGTTAAATGGAGTTCACATGAAATAGAGGTGAACTTCTGCGACAAAGACCTGCACTCTTGCACTCTCTGCTATGTGTTGTGTAGTCTCTGTTACCACTGTCTACAATATTCATGATTGAACCAAAATGTCTGCAAATAAGCTAGTTAAGAGAACAGTGCAAAAAGTGTGAAAACACTAACACTAGAACATCATCCTCAACTTCTTATTCTACACAAACCGTATGAAAGCTGATTATGTATTATACACATTTAGCTGTTAATGTTAAATGGAGTTCACATGAAATAGAGGTGAACTTCTGCGACAAAGACCTGCACTCTTGCACTCTCTGCTATGTGTTGTGTAGTCTCTGTTACCACTGTCTACAATATTCATGATTGAACTAAAATGTCTGCAAATAAGCTAGTTAAGAGAACAGTGCAAAAAGTGTGAAAACACTAACACTAGAACAGAACATTAAACATTAACAAGTCCCCTTCTTCACTTGCTTAAAAACACACACACACACAAAATGTCAACAATTACTCTCTCAATGCAAAGCCATTATCCAGCCAATACCATTTTACAATTTCAAATAGAATATTCAACAACTGTTTTGTCTTAGATCATTCAAATTTAAGCAAACTGAACAAGTTGCAAAAAAACCTGTTATTAAATGGACCCTTTTTATATTCCCAGTTTTCTCGGAAGTGGAAGCCATAATGGGTGAACTTCTATGGTGTATGTAATAATGGAAGGATATTATGTAAAAAGTGTTTAGGGAGCGTTACATAAAAATTGCATTCCTTAAGCAGCAGTGTTTTTATTATTATTATTATATTAAGATAATAATAATAATATAATAATAATAATAATAATAATAATAATAATGTTATAAATATAGACAAATTATTTAAATTACTTAAATATCTTGGAAATGCACAAGACTACAATTCCTTGTTATGTATTAATATGAAAGAATGTTTTTAAAATATTTTGGCCACAAATCCATGTTACTGTAAGTCAACTATTCAAAAAAGATGAAGATTTATTTGTTAATAATAATAATAATAATAATAATACATAATGGGTGAACTTCTATGGTGGGGAATGGAAGACTATAAAACAAATGCACTACTATGTTTCCAGATGATATTGTCACGTTTCTGTTCTGTTGTGTTCTGCCCTGAATGTCAGCGGAGACCACGTCAACTACATGCGCCCCAGAGACAGATCCCTTGTGAAGATCTCGTCACCTTGACGACCATCTGCACAAGACCACGGGAACCAGACAAGTAAGTCCTCTGCACCTGTGTTGCAGCCTGGAATTAAACCACGCCATGCTGGTTTCGTCTGGCCAGAGAGAACTGGCCCCCCGACTGAGCCTGGGAAGGTTTTTTCTCCATTTCTGTCACCGATGGAGTTTTGGTTCCTTGCCACTGTCTCCTTTGACTTGCTTAGTTGGGGACGCTTGACTGATTGCACAGACAGAACTGAACTGGATGATGACATCACTGAATCACCAATGAACTGACTTTAGCTGAAAAATGACTCTATTGTCTTCTTGCATCATTGACAAACTATTTTCCTATTTGACTCTGTAAAGCTGCTTTGACACAACCAGCATTGTAAAAAGTGCTATACAAATAAAGGAGAATTGACTTGACTTGATTTTCTCTGCTTTCCAGTTTGCCTGTGTTCCCTTGTTTGTTTCTATGGTTTTTGATTTGTTAATTAGTTCCACACACCTGTTCTGTTTCTCCTTAATTACCCTGTTCTCGTATTTAAGCCCTACCTGTTCATCAGTTAATCGTCTGCTATTATTTGGATTTACGTTGCTGAGCACTTGATACTGTTTGTTTATAGACTTGTGGATATTCTCCTGGATTTATGATTAAAAACTCCTTTTGAACTTTACTCCTTCATCGTGCGCTTAACACTGCCAGCATGCCTAACAGAATAGCAGACCTAGAAAAGTAAAATATAGCGGCGTTCTCTGTTTGTTTTGTTTGAATTTTTTTCCCCCTCTCCCAGAATGGATTTACCAGCCGTACAGCTCCTATGCATGGACAAGTTGGACCGTTCACTGGAGGACCACACCAGGGACTTTTTAGGTCTAGCGGTTTTTTTCAAATTTGATGTCACCAGCTTGAGCGAGTGGTGTAAGGCACGCCTGCCAGCGAACGGTCCCCGAGAGGATTTTGCAGCTTTTGTGGAGTGGGTGCTGGTGAATTGTGGATCACTGCTCACCATCGACAGCACAGAGGAGGAATTCACCAGCCCCACCGCTGAGGGTGAGCTGTCACTGGCCTCTGAAATATTTGACTGTTTAAATAAGGATGAATACTGGCTTCTCCCTTCCCCGCTGGTCCCACCCAGCTCTCCTTCGTCAGCCAGCTCCTCGTCACCAGCATCGGGAACTTTCCCGCCCAGCCTCCCACTCCCTCCCCCTCTGTCTCAGCAAGCCAGTCCATTGGCCCTATGTCAGCTGGCCACTGAAGATACCTCAGCTCACCCTCAGCACACCAAAACCGGTGGATCGGGTGAGCTTCGGGATCTTCAGCTTCCAGCTACCTCGGGGTTAGAGGATCCCCTGTCTCTGCCTCCAGGAGATGGTCCTCACTGCAGAACACAAGATCCAGGGGGCGAGGTTGGATCCAGATCCAACTCCTCCCACCTTACATATACCTAAACCTACCCTTCTTCACCCCCTAATCCCTAACCCCACCCATCTCCACCCCCTAGATGTGGATTCAACCCCGCCCCCTGGATCTTTGTTCTGCAGTGAGGGGCTACTGGCCTCCAGCCTCCGAGACCCAGACTCCACCTTGGCCCTCCGACCCATCGGCTCCACCTTGGCTCATTTCTCCCTCGTCTCCACTGTGGCCTATCATCCCAGTGGCTCCACCGGGCTCCCTCGTTCCTCCGGCTCCGCCTTGGTCAGTTGTTGACCATCATTCACCTCGGGATTCCACTCCTTTGGCTTCGCCTTGTCCCTCCATCTCTCTGGCTCTGTCTGGCTCCTCCTTCCCTACAGCTCCACCTTGGTCGCTCCAGCTCCGCCTTGACCCTCCCGATCCTTGGTGTCACCCAGGCTCTGCGGCTCTCCGTCTCCATCCTGGGCTCCTCTTCCACCAGCTCTGTCTCCGTCAGTCGACCCCCTGGTGTCGTCGGCCCCATCTCCACCATGGCTCCTCCCACCGTCGACTTCACCATCGGCCACTATTCTGGCTGGCCTCTGGTTCCCCACCTGACTCCTCCTGCTCCGGGCTCCTCCCTCCATCTACTCCGGCCTGGCCTTATGAGCTATGCCCCTTTCCCATTGCCTGCCCCGCCTCCTGGACCCCCACCCTCCCTCCTTTGTTGGACTGCTTTATTCGGCGCGAGAACATGCCATTCCGGGAGGGGGCGATATGTCACGTTTCTGTTCTGTTGTGTTTTGGTTTCTCTGCTTTCCAGTTTGCCTGTGTTCCCTCGTTTGTTTCGGTTTTTGATTTGTTCATTAGTTCCACACACCTGTTCTGTTTCTCCTTAATTACCCTGTTCTTGTATTTAAGCCCTATCTGTTCATCGTCTGCTATTATTTGGATTTGCATTGCTGAGAACTTGATACTGTTTATGGACTTGTGGATATTCTCCTGGATTTATGATTAAATACTCCTTTTGAACTTTACTCCTTCATCGTGCGCTTGATTAATACTGCCAGCACGCCTAACAGATATTACATAAAAAGTGTTTAAGGAGCATTATATAAAACTAGCACTCCTTAAACAGCAGTTTTATTATTATTATATCAAAACAATATAATAAATAATAATAATGTTATAAATATAGACTAATAAGATAATTATTTAAATTACTTAAATATCTTGGAAATGCACAAGACTACAAATCCTTGTTATGTATTAATATGTGAGAATGTTTTGAAAATATTTTGGCCACAAATCCATGTTACTGTAAGTCAACTATTCAAAAAAGATGAAGATTTATTTGTTAATACATGCAGTTTTTAAATGAAGGTTTTTATTATTAAGGGAAAACAAAATCCAAAACTACATGGCCCTGTGTGAAGAAGTGTTTGCCCCCCTGTTAAAACTGTGGTTTATCACACCTGAGTTCAATTTCTCTAGCCACACCCAGGCCTGATTACTGCCACACCTGTTCGCAATCAAGAAATCTCTTAAATAGGACCTGCCTGACAAAGTGAAGTAGACCAAAAGATCCTCAAAAGCTAGACATCATGCCAAGATCCAAAGAAATTCAGAAACAAATGAGAAAGAAAGTAATTGAGATCTATCAGTCTGGAAAAGGTTATAAAGCCATTTCTAAAGCTTTGGGACTCCAGCGAACCACAGTGAGAGCCATTATTCACAAATGGCAAAAACATGGAACAGTGGAGAACCTACCCAGGAGTGGCCAGCCGACCAAAATTACCCCAAGAGCACAGCGACGACTCATCCAAGAGGTCACAAAAGACCCCACAACAACATCCAAAGAACTGCAGGCCTCACTTGCCTCAGTTAAGGTCAGTGTTCATGACTCCACCATAAGAAAGAGACTGGGCAAAAATGGTCTGCATGGCAGAGTTCCAAGACGAAAACCGCTGCTGAACAAAAATAACATAAAGGCTCATCTCAGTTTTGCCAGAAAACATCTTGATGGATCAACTGAACCCTCCAATGTGGCTGAATTACAACAATTCTGCATAGATGAGTGGACCAAAATTCCTCCACAGCGCTGTAACAGACTCATTGCAAGTTATGGCAAATGCTTGATTGCAGTTGTTGCTGCTAAGGGTGGCCCAACCAGTTATTAGGTTTAGGGGGCAAACAATTTTTCACACAGG